CGCCAACGGTTATCCGCCACCGCCCGATCAAGGCGGACTTTAACATTCCGACGCCCAGCTTGCTTATTGTCATAGGTGAAAGGCATGCCTGAAAAGCCCAAATCTGACAACTCACATAACTCCAATGTGTCTCTAAAGGCCAACATCTGTCTTTCTCCACGTTGTGTTACAGAGAGGTGTTCAAAAGACCACATGGCTTCATTGAAGTCACCAATCACACACCACGGTAATGTAGACCTTGTTTTTAAGTTTTGCAATTTTTCCCACATCAAAGGACGGTTTTTCACCCTTGGCTCACCGTACACACAAGTTAAATGCCAAAGTGGATCATTATCCGACACACGGACGTACGCATCAATGTATTATCTATCAGTTATTTCTTGAACATCGACAAAGATTTGATCACTCCAAAAGAGAGCTAGGCCCCCACTCAGGCCATTGCTACCACAACCTGCAAAACCCCTTAGACCCAGTCTACCTCTTAAACGACGCACTTTCTCAGCTTTAACTCGAGTTTCACACAAAAAGACCAAATGTGCTCTGGCGGTTCTCGCAAGTCCCACCAACTCATGAACTGTCATTTTGTTGGTCGCACCCCGACAGTTCCAACTTAGACAATTCATTGCTTCTGACGGGGCGCCACACTCGGCCCCGTCAGGTCACCGGCAGCCCTTGGGCCGGTTGCTTCCTGCTTAAAAGACTGGTCCTCTGCCCCGGCGGATGAGCACCCATCCGCCACCACCTTGCCCCTCTTCTGATTACCACCTACCATAACCTCCTGAAAGATAACAAGTGCCTCGTCTTGCTCGTGTCGGTCCTCGCTTTGCTCCTTTTCTACCACTGTATGCTTGATCAGAACCGAGTCAGCTACATTTATCTCTGTATCTAGGCTGCTTAAGAAGGCAGCCATATTTACCAAGTACCTTGACTGCTGCAGATCAGCCATGCGTTCTTTGTACAGTGGCCCTCTCGCTGGTACATCGACATTAGACACAGGGGCCTTTGACGCAGCCAGACTCTGATTGGCATTGACGGCAGCAAGTACGCCAGGGATCACGGCTGCGTGTTCCACGAATTCCCCGTCAACCGGCTTCGGGCGGGCAGCATCCACAAGGGGAGCCCCATGATCGCCCCCACCGGCTTCCGGGTTGGCCGCAGACAGCACCCAGCTCGATCTCCTCCGGCAGCACCGAAAGTGCCATCGCCTCCACTCCCTTCATATCCACAGATCTGTACTCAGGAGACAGTGATCGATCTGGTGGGTCGCAAGCCTTCAGATGAGATTGTGCCATTAGTCTAGGATTCCTTGAGAAAGCCCCCAACTCTCCTTCCCCTTCCTTGGAGTGGTTTGTGCCTATATTGGGCTGCAGTGGCGGATCCAGGATTTGAAGTTACCCGGGGCGGACTTATAAAGGAAACGAAAAATTGAAACCACGATGCAATCAAAGAATACAATCAAAAAAATTAACTGACCAAGTAGTATGCCTGCTTGAACTAATTTGAACACAACAAAAAGATTATATAAACTCTAACTCTGGCTTCTGCTTTATCCCTCTCTAATCTTCATGTCCAATAGGTACCTAAAACATGTGAAAAGACATATCAATATTAAGATAAGTATTTTAGCACACTTTTCAATTTGTTTTTCTAGGCTCAGGCAGGTTAATTGTCTGCTTGATTAAATCTTTGAGGAACATTGGCTTGCAAATTGTTTGTATCAGTTTCTTATTAACTTATAATGGACTTAATACGCCAGGAATATTTATTAGCTTGTAATTATCAGAATCATGGAAGGTTCTCTGTAAAATTTCCCTTCGATTTTTGAGGTAATTTTCCCTTAGATTGGGGGCATGGGGAGCATGGGAGAGAAGGGCTCCCGATCGATAGGCTGCGTACAGAAAATAAATGGGCTCTTCTCATTTTCTACTAGGCCTGACTGATTGGCCCATCTGACCTTAGCGAATCGTTTTCTTTCCTACACGACCCCACGCTGGCGCCGCCCCTGTTACCAAATTATGTCAAGCTTTTTCCGAAATGGGATCCCTAAGTGACATGATATGTGGCTAGTGATAAGGCTTCAAGTGCCAAATGCAAGGTCAACTTGGAAAAGGTTTTGCCGGCCTAAGGATTTTGGATGCCTTAATAAAATTGTTAACTTACAAAAACTTGCCACCACACTTTGAATACGATGGCTTCCGTTTGCGCGGACAGACGATGCCAAGTCTTGGATTGGCCTTGGCGACCCCTGCAACGACAAAGGCAAACACATGTTCGTAGCGGCCACCTCGGTCACCATTGGCAGGAGGCAAGGTACTAGAACTCCCCGTGGCTTGAGGGTATTCGAGTGAAGGACTTGGCCCCCAACATATTTTCTATTTCATTCAAGACGTCTAAATCGATGAGAGAGGTCTTGCACAATGACAGATGGGTGGAGCGGATTGACATGCGGCATGGCCTTATTGTGCGACATCAAGGAGTTTTGGGTTGTGTGTGAAAAAAGAACACAACCCAAAAACGAAAACCTTGCTCCTCAGGCGAGGCGAGTGAATGTAAGAGCATCTCCAACAGGTGTCCAACGCGCGGCGCGTTAAAAGCTGATTTGTGGCACGCCCATCGTCAGGTTTGACGCGGCGCGCAGCGCAGCGCGCGCAGCTCTAGCAGTGCGCGCGAGCAGCCGCGCATCCACATTTGTTGCATTTTATCTCACAACACATTCACAAAACAAAGACATGGCATATAATTTTTAAATCACAACCAAGTTTAGATGAATGGTTCAATTTATTACAACTCATCAAACAAATAGTATTTTGAGAAATACAGCAAATAATTCAATAATACAACATCAAACGCACAAATCATGATGCTCTTCGGCGGCCATTCCAAGCTCACCACTCCTCAATGAGATCTTTCTTGAATTCATTATGCGTTGCGGACGTCGAATGGCATGATAGGAGGCAACAAAACAGGCCACCCTTTCAGCCCTCCGCCGCACTCACACGGATTATAGTGCTCTTTTTTTGTCCGTGGAATTGTCCATGCCATGCCTTTGGACAATTCTTCCAACTCCAATGCATGCAATCTATTGAGCCAAGCATACCTGGGAACCCGCGAGCTTTGTTCATCTCCAATAGCCTTGAGACATCTTCAGTATTGGGAGTTCTCAAGTACTCCGGGCCAAACACTTGCACAATTCCAACTGCGAAGCGCTTGACACACATGATGGCTTGGCTCTCACCCATGGCCAAGTGGTCATCAACTAGATCCGCAGGAATACCGTATGCCAACATACGCAAAGCGGCTGTCACCTTCTGAAAGGTGCTATGCCCGAGCTCTCCGACGGCATTCCTCCTCTGCTGAAAAAACCGGTCATGGCTCGCTAGTTTCTCTGCAATGCGTCTGAACAACTCGGTGCTCATCCTAAACCGGCGACGAAAGTACGACTTGGGGTATGTGGGATTCTCCACCAAATAGTGCCTCATCAATCTGTTGTGGGCATCAATCATATCCCTCCAAATTTTCTGCCGACCCATAACCGAACCACCGTGCTTCGATTTTTTATTGATGTGCATAGCTAGGATCATTGCAAGATCCTCCTCCTCTTCCATATCAAATTCTTCTTCGAAAGAATCATATGACGAACCCATCTAAATTGTTCAAAACTAGGCTATAAACAACATGCACCAAATTACATGCAAAAATGTGGAAGTTGGAATCAATACATACCTTGCGGGCCTTTTATCGAACACCTTGCGGGCGCCAAAGCGGGGATGGGCGGCCGGGCGCTGTTCGTTGGAGACGGCCGCGCGCGATGGGAGGAAGCCGTGGCCGCGTGGGAAGAGACCGGGGAAGCGCCGGAACGGCCACCAGAAAAATAGGGTGACGTGGGCAGCCGCGGCGGCACGGCTGGATGGGAGATGAAGGTGCACGCGAGCGCTCGAGAGTCTAGCGCGCAGGAGTGGGCGCAGCAAATAAGCGGTGCACGATAGCGTTTCCGCCCGCGCGCTGAATTACATATGACGCGCACGCGATAGTTTTGCTCGTCCGCTGAAGCGCCGGAAACAGTAGCGCGCGCTAAAACCATTGTTCATGAAATTGGTAACTGGTAGCTGCTCGGTCGACTTGGAAGTAGTGATTAATCGGTGAATCGGCCTATTAACTGAATTAATCGGTTGACCATTAATCGATAGATTAAATAGGAATTGCCAACATATATCTATTTTTTAATGTATTATACCATACTCTCATGCTCTCAACTATGTAATATACCAAATATGCTACTGTTTGGTTGAAACCTAACTATTGAGGAGCAGGAGGGGGATGGGAAGGGTTACGGGGCAAAATTTTGGGCTTTGTTTGCTCACAAGTTAATGGGTCAGCAGCGATTAATCGACCTAACAACTGATTAATCGGCATCGACCTAACAACTGATTAATCGGCCTGACAAGTTAACATGACGAATAAGTGCTATTCAATTTGGTCACCCTACGAGTAGCGATTAACTGACCCGTTAACTGATTAATCGGACGAATTCTTGAACAGTGGCTAAAACCACTAATTTTTCCACGCGGCACGTTTATAGCATGGCTGTTGGAGATGCTCTAAGGCTTTTATGGAAAGCTTGCCAAGCGGGTATGCTAGATAGATACTACATCAACCACCAAATTATCTCAGTTCATCCAAGTACGGCTGCTCCGGAACCAAAGATTTCATAGCACGGAGGCCAAATATGACAAGCCGCTAATCTTCTGGCGTGATAAATCACAGGTTACTAGTAGAAGGCAAACGTTGTTTATCACATACTAATTCAACATTGTCGGGACAACATCCAGAAACAGTCTCACCATCTTAGGAACAACCCTTGGTCATGTCAGGGTCTTTGAAAAGCAGCATGTAGCATATATACACAACACACATCACCGGTCAAATTCGGAGTAAAAAGCTAAGCTCTCTCCCGGCGCAAGTGTTCGCCTCCACGATGGGGCGCTCGCTCGACCGCCCTTTCAGGCCGCCTTGGCGAAGCCGACCCGCAGCTTGCCATAGTCGAAGACGGTGTGGTAGGGGCCCATGAAGACGTCTCCCAGGATCCTGCAGTTGAGAGATATGTATGTATCAGCGCCAGAAGCAGAGATGTCAAGCGTCAACAAGGTAACCGGAGAACTTTTATGTAGCATGGATCCTCGGTAGGATTCGGTCAGGTGCAAGATAACTGATATGTGCTGGAACGAGAATCAGGAGCACGTAGATAGATTACCAGAGAGGACCGCGGGGAGGGGGGATGTCCATGGCTGTGAATCCACTGATGCACTGGGCAGCGGCTCCTTCACCAACCTTCAGGATATACTGCACAATTGAAGAAAACAAAATCAAACACAAGGCCAAAAGCTAAGCAAGTAGCCTAACTAATTTGGTGTGCAACAGTTAGAAACATAAGAAGAAAAAACAGATGATCGGTACTCGAGGGAACAAATAGAAGAGGGAAATCATGGAGAAGAAATCGCACCTCTTCTGGTTTCAGCGCAAACTTCTTGCCGCCAATGGTGAACTCAATGTCAGGCATGGATCCGAGGCTGGCACAGTCCACGGCTGATTCTCCCATGGGGCTCGGGAGACGGTTGCACAGCTGCAAAATTTATACAGTTATAAGCAGAGTGCCACCACAGAAGTACAGAACAAACTTCACCAAAGGTCACTGAGCTCACCTGGTTAACGTAATCCAGTATGAGATCCTGGGTCTTGTTCTGTGCAAGTTGGTTCTGCATCCACACAACAGCCATCTCACAGGCACTGCACATGGGATCGGTACGGAGGCCATTTGATTTCACAGGCTCATCATCAACCACGCTCCGAATTCCAGCACTGTGTTCACATAGATAAACAAGGGAGAAATGAGCCATGGAAGTAAGAAGAACAATGCAAGCCGCATTAACAGCATAATGAAAGAATGCCTTGGGACTGGTCCACTTATTCAGTCGACTGTAACGAACTGTGGCACAGTAGTTAATCAATACTTGTATTTAGTAACAACTAACATCAAAACTAGCTGATAGTCAAATAGTAGATACTCTGTTTCATAAATTCAGAAATGGAATTTGCAGTTCTCACCTAACACCACGAGTCCCATCAAAGGTGCACAGACCAACCTGGGAGCAGATCTTTTTGGGCTGTGTCTGTTAACATGAAACCAGAGCAGGTTTAGTCCCTATCCTTTAAGAGATAATATAATTCATCAAACAGCTACCGAAATAGTAAACAGGCTATATGGGAACATACAAACCTCTGCTAGCAACAGGTCGAGGATCTGTTGTCCATACTGAGAAACAATTGTTTTGCACTCTTGGCTGACTACCCCAGCCGCACCAATCTTCTCGTTAATTTCAGTAATGATGGCCTACATTGGTGAACAGGAACGTGTCAAATTTCCTCAGTGGAACTCAACATGGAGCAAAGAAGAGAAAACCAGTGATAAACAGTGTGATCCAGATTGACTCTTGCACAAGATTAACAACAAACCATCCTAGTGTAAGCTTTACTTCTTAAAATTAAGCTTGGAATCTCAAAGATTTCTGAAATTGACCCTTCCATGTACTCCCTCCGTCCGGAAATACGTGTCATCAAAATGAATAAAAGAGGATGTATCTAGATGTATATTAGTTCTAGATACATCCCTTTTTATCCGTTTTGATGACAAGTATTTTCGGACGGAGGGAGTATCTGACTAATGTAAGCTAAAAGTTTGTCAATGATACTAATGGAATCAAGCAAAATGTTCTTCCAATATTGTGATTTGTAGTAAAAAGGTGCAGGTGCTATATCAATATATCATCACATTTCTTAAGCACATAGCCTGTGTCTAGCCTGCAAATCTGGAAGATTGTACAGAAATAGTGTGAATTTGATCATTACTAAGATAATTGCCCCAAAATAATAAATCAATTTGATAAAAATGTTGCAATATTTAGTAGCTAATGCCATACAAAACTGCAATTTCAACTGAAAAGGTGGATGTCACTCGCCACTCTGAAGATAAACATTGATTTGAAGATCACAACATACCGTGGGGCCAGCAAGCAGTGAAGTTCCAGAATCAGCAATTGCGGCACAACCGCCAGCACAGAATCCTGAGAATGACTTAGGTGTGAACACGCGTAAGATAATTCAGATTTAACCGCATTAAGATTTTAACATCAAGATAACCGTTCAGTACCTGTGGACTTCCCTCCAACCAGGACATCACCCATGTCAAACTGCAGCAAGCAAGTGCGCGTTTATAAGCTAGACGATCAAATAGTACTTAAATTAAATTACACAAGAACAAGACTAACCTGCCAATATCCCTTCTGGGTGACTGGGACATATGTGTGCTCACCCACGTAGTGTTTGGGATCCATTCCTCCAAAAATAATCTCACCACCCTCTCCTTCATCATCAGCATGTCGGTTCAACCAGAACGAGAAAACAGGATCACTGATGAGACCTTGCTCTACCATATTATACCTGCAATGTTTATGTATCATTAGGCATCATGAATATGCTACAATCTGTAAGAGTGTGCAAGGCTAATTGTTGTTTGTATGAGAGAAACAGAACAAGTAAATGCACGAACAAACTGTCGGATAGTTCCACATACATGAAGTCATGAACTCAAATACTTAAGTAATACATACTTGTTCTGTTAGAAGCAAAGCTACCATGACCGATGCAGCAAACATGAACACACAACAAAAAGTCCAGCGGAGTATCATTTAAACTGCAACAACTAAATGAAGGGAGGTTGCTATTTTCTTCATCAGGTCAATATTTAGGATACAGTCAATCCTGCATGTATGCTATGTTCTGCACATATGAACTACTATAAAAGCCAATGTTTTGGCAGCTACCAGTGAAAGAATTGTAATAGCACTGTACGGCTGAAGGAACTATATGCAAATAACATAATTGTTCTTGCAGCAATTCAATATGCAAAACGGTGAATAAAGACAATCCTAATGGTCAGATTGTCTTACCACACAGGAACTGCTTTGCCAACAGATATTTCCTTAAACCCAAGCCCAAGAATACCATCGAACTTTGCAACCAAGAAAGTAACACCTGGCTCCTTTGTAGCCTCAATGAACTCCTAATATCGTAACCGAACAAGATATTAACAAGAAAATCTGATGTGCTGCATAGTGCATACAAATCAGAGACAATGAACGTATCAACTCAGAAATATGAAGAGGCACAAACCTGATCTTTCACAACAAGATCACCCACTGTAACACTATCCTCGCTGAAATATCCAGCAATTGAACCAGTGCCGTACTGAATGGCAGCAGGCTTTCCTGGTGAGACAACAAGAGAAAACAACATTGTCACAAAAGAACAAGGCCACCTAACAGAGAGATGAATTTTCCAATGCAAAAGAACGGGAAAAATGAGCAAAAAAAGATTGGAAGGTTTGATAGCACAAAAAAAGAAGACTGAACATGAACCGTTTCTTATAGAACAAAAAACTGAAAAACTTAACATGATCATTTCCTGCATAACATGTGACTGAGGTTGCAACTTGCGAATGCTATTTAATATGCTCAACAAAGACAGCTACTGTTGCAACATCTCCATCACTATGTCCGACTACATCAATGGGCACTACATCAACATCAGTCATTTTGCAGCATCCTTTTCAAGGATGTTGCACCTAACATGAACTGAACATCATCACGCTCAGCCATGAACGGTCTACAATAGTTCATGAATACACATCTGACCTCCATAGAAAAAAAATTAGGAAGCAACCTCAGCACATAACTCTTCAATTTTGGCTTAACAGACGGGAAGACAGGAATTTCTCAAGACTACCCGGAACTAGGCACTACCTGGATAAGCCAAGACACTACATGGTACCTGAAACTATGACACATGGGGTAAGCTACAGCACTACCTGGAACTGGCATATTTCAAATCAAATGTAAGAATGACTGCAGCACATACAACTAGCATGCTACGGTTGGTGGGCGATGGGGAAAATGCATGTGAAGCGCACAAATCACAGAGGGGTGTGTGCAACTACCACACTATCTTTGACAGCAAGCAAAAACAGACAGGTACAGAGCATGTCTATCAACTACAGCAGTACAAAGCACAAGCACTAGCATGGTGGTGAGAGAAGCTTCCAGGCGCTAACCATTCTTCTTGTAGGTGCTGGACGCCCCGGCCTTGTAGCGTGCGTGGAGGTAGCACGCAATCTGCACCAGCAAAGCACCCAAAAACAAAGTCAAACCCCCTGCATCACAGACAGCCAAACCCTCCTAATAATCCTAAAAAACGAAAACGGCGTCACAGACGCACCGAGAAGTAGCACTTGGCGGAGGGCACCCAGAGGTTGGAGCTGCCGGTGTCGAAGATGACGGTGAACTTCTGCGGCGGGGTGCCGACGCCGATCTCCCCGAAGTACTGCGCGTTCATGTAGTTCTTGAGGGACACGATGTCGCCCTCCTCCTCGGAGCGCAGGGTGTTGGCGGCGCCGCCGCCGAGGAGGGGCACCTCCTCGCGGTCGGAGAGGCTCTTGGCGACGCGGCTGTTCCGGTCGATGGCGCGCTTCTTCAGCGCGATCCGCACCAGGCCCTCCGCCTCCGACGCCGGGAGGAGTGCCTGCAGCAGCACGGCCGCGAGGAGCAGCACGGCGAGCCCGCGGGTTCCCATGGTCGCGATCTGCGGCGAATCGGAGGGGTTAGTCGAATGGGAGAGGGTAAATCCTAGTGGTGGGGAAAGTAGCGGAGCATGCTCCTAACTACTAGTACTAGTTGACTGACAGTAGTACCGCAACTGAATCGAGTAGAAACGCCACTGGAGGGGAAATTTATGCGCGGAAACCTCACAAAAACTACCAAATCGAGGGCTCGGAGCGACTGAGAGGGGAACGATCGAAATCGAAAAAATTCCAGAGGAATCGGAGGCAGATAACGCCGCGGAGCACGCGAGAAGCAGCCTAGAATCGAGGCAAAAACGCGAGCAGAAACGAAATCTAACCGCCGGTACCGAGCGCAATCCAGACCAAAACCGCCGCCCAAAAGAGACAAAAAATAAATCGGCGAGAAGGCCAGATCGAGTCCTCGAACTCGCACCCGGAAAGGGAGCGGATCCATACCAAAAACCCAGTGACCCGCACACGAGAATCACCACCGCCTCCCGCACTCTCACGCGCACTAGAAAGCAGTCAGTCGAGCGGAGTCCACGAGAAGCGCACTGCGGAGAGGGGGGAGGAGAGGGGGGAGAGCTCACCAGAAACCGGAGGAGGATGGAGGAGAGAGAGGAGGGGAGCGGAGCAAAGCCGAGCCGAGTGACGTGTGCCGCACCACGGACCCGGTGCGGGCCGTATATATAAAGCGGTTCGGGCCGTCGGGAGGCGCGGCGCGCTCGCCCGGGCCGTCGGATGGCTGGTCGGTGCGTCGAGCGCCGTGGGATGAGGATGGGCACGCGAAAGCGAAACTGCTAGCTTTACCCCGCGAAATGGTGCGTGCGTGAGGGAGGTGAGCACTGAGGACGCGGGTACGTGGCGCGCGGTGAGGCTTTCTTGTTGCGGGTGATCCCTGAATTCTGCATTTCTTTTTCTTTTTGAGGGTTCTGAATTTCCTGATGATAGGGACGGGAAGGGAGCCTGGTGGGTTGCTTTGCGTGGAAGTAAGCAGTTTTGGTTCCATAATTCCTTCTGCAAGGACATTGCATTCGGTAGTAATATATTTTTCTGTTGGAAGTTGCATCTACGTACTATATTTATTGTTTTGCTTGTCTCAATGGGTTCACCCGGGCTGACAGTAGTAGCATAGGAGCATCTACAGCCGGACATAGTAAATATGACCCTTTAAACACCTGCAGACGTATCGGGCGTGTCCATTTTAAGCCCCTATTTGTTAGTTCGCACAGTCACACCCCTCATTTTTCTCCTCATATGTCCTGTCACTTTCACGTGATTGGTGAAGATGAAGAGAGAGAAATAAAAGAATGAATAAAGAAAGAGAAAAAGTGGTTCGGGTGGGCCCGTATGCTAAGTGGCGGACTGCCTGGACGCGTTTGCGAGTGCATTTGAGATGGATGTGAGGGTTCGGGGACAGCCCGGACGTATGGGAATGATATAAGGGGTCCGGCTGGGTCACGTTTTTCCTTCTCTTTCCTGCCGGTCACTAACTGGGCGCATCTGCAGGTGTATGAGAGATGGTTTAAGGCATCCGACTATATATGCTCTAAGATCTAGTGGTTGGTGATAAGTTTATCCACACAAAGTCAAGTGATTGCGATCAGAAGAACAATGCAATAATTCTCTCCCTCTGACCAAAATACCATATGGCGCCACAAAGCCCTCCTCATGCATCCCCGTTGATTTCGCCGTTGGGGTGAGGGGGCATGGATATTCGTCGTACTAGTGGAACGTTGTAGCCTAGTATGTTAGGTTTTTTTTCTAGTGTCGTTTATCCGGGCCGTGAGGCAGCAAGGATGAAGCACCTTCAATTTTGTCCCATCGTGGTGGAGTTGCTCTACTGCCCATGGGAAGTGCTAGGGTTTTGGTCCGCAAAAACCAATATGTTAGGTTGCAAGGGGAGTGGGAGTCGCCAAGCTTGTTGCTTCCATCTCGGCTGACGACGGCGTTGTGGTCTCACTGGTAAGATCAAACGACAACGCTGGTTGGGATACTCGTCTTGCCTTCACCAAGTTCTCTAGGTTGACCTCTTTGTGTCCGAGGTCATTGTACTCTCTCTGGGTTTTTTTTTAGTCTGCATATAAGTTTTACTCCAGGTCAAAGTATCTCTACTTTGACCACCAAACTTATAGAAAAAAGTAGTATCAACGTACACAATGCCAAATCAATGTTGTTAGATTCATTATGAAATGTATTTCCATAGGGTACTAGTAAAATGCCCGTGCGTTGCAACGGGTTACCAAAACTATGACGTTCCAATCAAGCAATTGAGAACATATAATGTATAGCCCACCTTATTAATCCAAAATCAAATAAAATTAAGCGCTAGTTACAGTTATAGGAATATAACACATTTAGTTGATGGATTAAATGCGAGAAGCTTAGAAACCACAATTTATTCTAAAAATCTTAGTTTAAATTTAGCAATTGAAACTTCCGTTATTCATCATAGAGATACAAACTGTGACTTTGTTTTTGTTTGGAATTTTCACTTCAGACACAACAATATAGAATACTACTTATATATATATGCATCTATGAAATTTTTGTAGAGTTTTGAGCACCAAAAAAATTTAGATTTATGCTAATCCTGAGAAGCTTAGAAGGAGTAGAGAAGAAAGAGATATTCCAACCATTTTTTTATTTTTATTTTCTTTGAACCCCTCCTTTTGCCACTGACCAGTGGGTCCGTCAATCCAGCACTCCAGCAGCGTCAGCTACTCCCTGCCCGGCTGTCTCTTCATCTTTTCTCCTCATCCACTCCTCACTCTTCCGGTCTTCCCCCCGGATCCCCTTTCTTGTCAAACTCGCCGGGGACGCCGCCGCTTGCCGTTGCAACGCCAGCCATTGGCACCGGCGGGATCCGCCAGCCGTCGGTCCGGATCGACGCTCACGCCTCCGGCTCCGACATGCACGCCCGTTGAACGCCGTCGTGAACCACCTCGCTTCTCTGGTGCGCTCTTGCTCGTAGGTAGTTTCCTAGCTCGATTGTAGCTCTTGCCGTCCCTTTAATGGTGATTCCTAGCGCCGGCGTGCAAGTACGTCTTGAACCAAGGTCGCCTTTCTCGGTTCCGTCGGCCGCTGTTGCGACGCCGCCGCGGTCATCCTCCTCCCCGAGCAGCTCTAGGGGCCGTGACGGGCTCCGCGTCGTCGCGTCTCCTCTGGACCACGAACTCGAAGCCGTGGGTCCCTCCTACTTCTTCCTCGACCGCTGACCGCCATTGACGCCGTCCGAAACTTGCTGCCGTCCGTCCTCTCGCCTCCCTGCTCCGTCCGACCCTGCCAGGAACAGCAAGGTGAGGAGCCATCTCTTCCTGCTGCTGCTGCTGTCCGCTGTTGGCTTGCTTTGCCGCTTGCTGTTGTTGCGCTGCTGGATGGTTGCTTTGCTGCTTGATGCTGCCGGTTGTTTTGCTTGCCGCTGCTGCTTGCTTTTGTTGCTTGCTGCTGCTGGCCTTGAGCTACCGGTAAATGAGAGAAAGAAAGGAAGTTTTACATTTGTAGAGGGATATGGTCGTATTTAGATACACCTAGAAATGGCCATGTTTCACTACCGTTTAATTTTGTTCGTCGTACTGTCAGACTAAGGCTAGTCTTTCCTGTGCATAAAAGTTTCAGAAAAATGCACAACCTGCTGAAATTGGAAAATCCATAAAAAAATCATTCCAGTTTCTGTTTGGAGTAGTACTGATATGGAGTTGGCTGGTTTAAATTGTACTGTAGCAACGGAAAATATGAACATAGTCAATATTATTACTTGGATAGCTCAAGGGTGGATGTTTCTAATCCTGTACATGGCACCTTGGACACATTCTGCAATGAATTTTGAGGCCTGAAATTGATGTTTAAGAAAGTGTTAGAATTTAAGGACACCTGCATGCTAAATCTATCACAAAGCTACAGAAAAAAGTAGATGAACAGATTATATTCTTTTTGTTCATATAGAAGTATCTACTGGCTTGAAAGACTCATCCTGTAATAGTATAGATAGTACAGATACGAGGACTTCACTGATGGCAAACTCAGCTCAAATTTGGGTTGTTCATAAATCATCAGATACATAGTTCCTTATCCATGTATTTCTAACAAGAGATTCTATGCAACTGAAGTTTAAGTCAGTATTTTTATTGGTATATGATATTAGTTTTACCATATTAAAAAGCATATGCCTTAGAAAGAAATATGAAACCTTAGTATTTTTGTTCTTCTTTACCAAGTCACTGTCCAAGCATCTTCCTCCTGCATATGTTGGAAACTTCACGCTGACTCATGTTATTTCCAGCTTAAACAGGTGCATCTTTGACCAAGTATAGGACGGGCAAATGTCGCGGAAGGAATACTGATGGTTTTTGAAGACTGACTATGCTCCCTCGAGTACTGCGCAGCAACAAACTCAGGTCAGTGTGCATTAATATCTACAATAGTTATGTGGTTGTAATGCAGAACTGAACATATTTTACCTTGACATGATATAATTTGATCCAGTGACTTCATGTGCTAAGGACTTCTTTGTAGACTATGTTCTTCGTGGTTATTAATAAGGGCTCAGATCTTTTTCGCTTCTTTGAATTCTTGCTTTCGTCCTTTCCCTTGCCCTTACCATTGTCATTGTCCTTGATGGCGAGAATCTTAATGTTCCTCTTCGCGGTGGCTCTAGACAAAGCGACGTAAAGCTGACCGTGAGAGAAAATCGGGTCCGGTAGGTAAACCCCGACAATGGGGATGGTTTGCCCTTGCGCCTTGTTGATTGTCATGGCAAAGCTGAGCCTAATAGGGAACTGCTTCCTCTTGAACTTGAAAGGGAATATATCGTCATCGGATGGGCAGAGAGGTATCCGAGGAAGGAACACCCTCCTACCAGCATGTTGTCCTAGCACGATTTCTGCGTCGATGGCGTTCCTTTGGAAACCCCGGACCACAAGCCTTGTGCCGTTACACAACCCATTAGCTGGATCAATATTTCTCAATAGTATAACCGGGCAATTTATCTTTAGTTTGAGCGCATGCGGAGGCAGGCCATTGGGAGTCAGGTTGTTGAGGAACTCGGGGGCATAGTAGCCATGTGGATCATCCTCTGCACTATCAAAACTGTGGTAGATCTTCTCTTCGCCCTGGAAGCGCTCTATCATGCGCGTGTTTATCTTATCAACGTTGTCATTCTTTGTGGAGAGGATTGCTCGAGATGTCATGTAATTTGGATCGGCCATGTTGTCATCTAGAGCAGGAAATACATGGTCGATTAGCTTCTCTAGGTCAACGCCATCTCCTGTTGGCGGCACACAAATATCTTCGGGGAGCCTTATGTTGCCTTCCTCGTCGGTTTCCTCGGTGCCATTGCCTACCCTTAGCAAGTAATCTGCGAACCACGGGTCGTTATGCGCCCTCATGTTGGTGACGAGCCTTAGCTGGCGCATGCCCTTCCAAAGGTATGAACTCCGCAGGGTTGAATCGATT